GGGACCAGTGTAGGCTTTGGGGTGATTTTTTGCTTTGAAAAGTTATTTTAAAGTTATGTCACTTTTTTTTTCCGATTTAAAAAATAATAGTAAAAATATGGCTTTCCTAAATTTCTGTTTCAATTTTGGGCTTGGAACTGTCTCAGCTCTATTCTTGTCTTTTCCTTTTGTCTTTAGTGGTTTTCTAGAGCATTCCAAGAAGTCTACTGAATTGGACATAAAAAAGTCCCATCCCTTTCTCCCTGGCTCGGTCAGGAGGGTGTCCTGATGGTGGGTGGATGCTGGGGAGGGTCTCACGCTCTCTGGATGTCTCTGGGTGGGCACATGTGTGCATGTTCCCCTGGGCTTCAGCATGTTGGAGGGGAAGAGGTTGGACCAAAAGCGGAGCTATTAATTTTTGAAACATGGCCATTTAGGGTGCTGCGTGGGTGGGCCGTGAAATCAAACTGACACTAGGTAACCACTGAGATTCCACCAAGGCCAGTCGCTGCAGACTGAAGCGGGTCCTGCTGCTCAGGCCTGCTAAAGGTCACCTTGAGACTTTTAACAACGCTCTTGACTTCAGCTTCCTGTTTCTTAGCTGCTGACTTGAATTTTCCTGAGCCAGTTTACAGGCTAAGTGATCCCAGGTCCTATGCGCCCACGGTGGTGCATATCTCTGGGGTGGGAGAGAAAACTCATGCGGCACCTAGTGTGTGCCATTGATTATTTTAGGTGCCAGGAGTGGAGCAGTGCCCAGGGTCCTGTGGAACAGTTAAACAAGTGGTGGACCAAGAAATCAATTAAATCGTTAAACCCACTAATCAGTGTATGACGGAGATCAAAGAGGGACGGAGGCAGAGACCAGACGGGGTGCTGGGGGAAGGCGTCTCAGACACAGACATCGAAGTGGACCTAACAGAGGAGAACTTGGCCTTCAGGAGCCAGAGACAGGCTTGTGCAAAGGTCTGCAAACTGGAAGAGCTCGGCTTGTTTGAGGAACTGAAAGAAGGCCAGTGTGGTCAGAAGCCAGGGAGGGCTGTGCAGGAGGGCACATGGAAGGGAATGAAAGTTTCTTGAGCACCTGCTATAGGCCAGGCACCCTCTTACTGTTGTGTAGCATTGTTTCATTAAATTTTCATCATGTGATGAGAAAAGTAATATGATCTCGAGTTTATGACGGGGAATTAGAACCTCAGAAAGGGAGTGACACTTGTCCAGAGTCACACAGCTTGATAAGCGGAGGGAGTAGGAATCTGCTCACAGGCCTGTCTGTCTCCAAACTCTTTTTGCCTCCCACACTCTCGTCCACACAGGGCCCTCATCACTAGGGCCTGACACCAGTACAGTGGACAGCAGGTGAGGGAGGGGTGGCTCCTTATACCCGTGACAGGCCTCAAGGGAGCTCAGAGCTGCCACCTGAGGGTGGAGGGAGATGCCCCCCTGACCCCCCCCCCCTGGTGTGTGCCTGTCCTAATCTCTGTGGCCTGGAGGTTTTACACAGAGGGCAGCGGGAACCACACAGCTTGGAAAGATGGCCCCCTAGAGCCCTGAGCTGGAAGGAGGAACGTTAGAGACCCCACTGCCTCCTTCTGCCAATCAGGGACCTGCAACCCTGGAGGGGAGGCCACTGTCCCAGGGCCACAGCCTCAAAGCCACCAAGTGTGGGAAGCCACATATCTCAGATCCAAGTGCACTTTCCCAGCTGCTGGTGGGTCCTGGGGCTGCCTGGGGGGTCTGCAGTGGCTGCCTGTGTGTCTAGCCTGGGCTCAGCCCCGCCCCCCTCCGTCTGTCCTTTTAATTGCACCCACTCAAAATCCTCGGGGAATAATTCCAGGGTCTCATAATCCCAGAGTGTCACTTGGCTCTTCCAGGCTCCTGGCCACCACTCGCCCTTCTCTCTGCTCTGGCCACATCTTCTGGACCTCTGGATCTCGTCTCCCCCGCCCACAGCACCCTGGGTGTGGGTGTGGGTGCAGTACAGTCTCTCATGGCTGGGGTTTGTGCTCAGATGTCACAGTGGCCTCCCCTCTTTGGAGATGGCTTCCCGAACCCCAAATCTGAGTGACAGCCCTGTCTTCCATTACCTTCTTCCCTGGCTTTATTTTTCTCCCCCTCATCTGTTATTGCCTGATGCTGTATTTCTGTTAGTTTCCTGCCAGTCTCTCCAGGTCTTTCTAAAAGACAGGCTGTCACCTGCTCAAGGCCAGAGAGGCACAATAAATACAGTTGATGGACTAAATGGGCTCTGTGGCCTTTCCGCTGGCTGCTGGTGAGACCCCATCCCCAGCTTGATGCCCACCATGCCTGTGCCGGGCAGTGAGCTCTGTCCTTGGTTTTCTGGACTTTGGGGCTCGGGCAGCAGGTCCTCTTCTAGGCTCTGGAGCTGCTATTACCATCTGCTCTTCCCAGCTCTGACATCTCTAGCCCCGCTTCTCTCTGGAACTCCACACCCAACTTCTTGCCCAATGGCCACATGTGGCTGTCTGACAGGTGTCCCCAACTTTACCTGTTTAAAGGGAAGCTCCCAAGTGTTTCCCACCACCTGCACTGCCACAGCCTTCCCCACTTGGGTTAATGATGACTCTAGCTTTCCAGTCCCTTGGGTCAAAAAACTCAGCCATTCTTGACGTCCATCTTTCTCTCAGCATCCCCCCAGCCAGTCCCTCAGGAAGTCCTGCTTCAAAATGTATCCAGAATGCAGCAGTTGCATCTCCCCCGCCACCCCAGCCCCGGCTGGGCACCTCCATTCTCCCTTGCAGGAGACAGAAGCTTCCTGGAGGTCTGTATGTGCCCAGCCCTGCTCACCCACAGTCCAGCTCTATGGGGCCTTTTAAAACACATGGCAGCCAGCTTGGGGCACACACCTGTAATCCCAGTGGCTTGGGAGACTGATGCAGGAGGATCGTGAGTTCAAAGCCAGCCTCAGCAACTTAGCAAGGCCTTAGCAACTCAGTAGGATCCTGTCTCTAAATTAAAAAAAATAAAATAAAAAAGGGCTGGTGATATGGCTCAGTGGTTAAGCACCTATGGGTTCAATGCCCAGTGCAAAATAATAATAATAAAGATAATAATAATAAATAAAATAGAACACACAGCAGTCTGGAATAGGCAAATCTATAGAGGAAGAAAGTAGTTTGTAGGGCTGGGGTTGTAGCTCAGTGGTAGAGCACATGCCTTGCATGCATGAGGCACTGGGTTCAATCCTTAGCACCACATAAAAATAAATAAATAAAGATATTGTGTCTATCTACAACTAAAAAAATATTTTAAAAAAAATGAAAGTAGTTTGGGAAGTGACTGCTATTGGGCACAGGGTTTCTTTTAGGGGTGATAAAAATATTCTAAAATCGTGTTGATGTTCACACAATTCTGTGAATATACTAAAACCATCGAATTGCTAAACATTTGAAAAAGCATATAAACACAATTTGACATAAAAAAGAAAAAAGTTAGATCCCGTCACTCTTTTACTCTGAACTCTCAATGGCTTCCGACTTACTCTGAGTCAAAGCCAAGGTCATTTTGATGACCTAGCAGGCTTCCCCCAACTTGACTCCCTTGCCCACTGGACCTTGTCCTCCATCCCCTCCCCTCTTCGCCCCACTGGGCCAGAACAGCCTCTGTGATGTTCCCAGCACCCTCTGTGCACTCTCCCACCTCAAGGCTTTCGCTCTTGCAATATCCTCTGCCTGGATACGTCAGAGGATGCCCTGGCGTCCGCCTACCCTAGACCCGAATGTGTCACTTTTTCCTTTTTTCAGGTCTTTATGCAAACACCACCTTTCAGAGAGGCCCTCCCTGTCCACACCACCTTATTTAAAGCTTCACACTGACACACCTGATTCCCTTTCCCGGCCTTATTTTTCCTCCTGAGAATTCACATCGGTCGTGTTCCCTGCGCTGTGCTTCTTATCAGGTTCACGGCCTGCCTCTCTCTCTGGGTGGAAGCTCCAGGAAGGCCGCCATTTGTGTTCTGCCCACGGAAGTGATTCCTGGTACCACAACAGGCCTGGCTCGCGTGGGTCTCGAGCGTTTGTGGAATGACTGAATGCAGGCACCAAGCCCACGGTGGTCTATGTCAGGGCCCCTAGTCACAGGGAGCAGCCTGAGCTCCCTGGAGCCTCCCAGCTGCTTCTTCCAGCTTTCTCAATCCTACAAAGGAATCTTGGGTGGCCACGGCTCCTACATTCATTTAGGGCTTGAATCATTGGAATATTTGCTGACAAAGGCGGCGGGCTCAGCTGAGTATGTGGTGGGAGGAGCCCTGGGGGGAGGTTTCTGGGCTCCTGGGCCTGTCTCTTGCTGCTAAGCAGACAGTCTATAGATTTCCCAGTGATTCAGTCTGAATCACAGCGACTGGGACTCTACAGGAGGCTGGACTGGTGCCCTGGCCCAGGGCAGGTGTGAGCCACATGGAAGAGAGACAGAGGCGGGCAGGCGGGCTGAGACAAATGGAGACCAGAGAGAGACACAAAGAGTCTGAGTCACATCCAGGAGGGTCTTTGCAAGGTGGACATATTTATAAAACGTAAAGTACGAGCTGGCTGTGGTTGCCCACGTCTGTAATCCTAGCTACTTAGGAGGCTGAGGCAGGAGGATTCCAAGTTTAAGGCCAGGCTCAGCAATTTAGCAAAACTCTGTCTCAAAACCAAACTTCAAAGGGGCTGAGAATGTAGCTCCGTGGTAGAGAAATTGCCTGGCATCTGTGAGACCCTGGGTTCAATCCCCAGCAACACAGTGCAAGCGCACACATGCATACACACAGTTATTGTTATGATTTGTATGTGAGATGTCCCCCAAAAGCTTTCAAGTGAAACAATGCAAGAAGGTTACTAGAGCCTTAACTCAATCAGTGAGTTAACCCCCTGATGGGATTAACTGAGTGGTAACTGGAGGCAGGTGGGATGTGGTTGGAGGAGGTGGGAATAGGGGACGTGGCTTTGGGGTATCTATTTGTATCTGGCGAGTGGAGTCTCTCGCTGCCTCCTGATCATCATGTGAACCGCTTCCCTCTGCCACTCTTGCCATGATGTCCCGTCTCACCTCACGCCCCGAGAATGGAGCCTGCTGTCTATGGATTGAGACCTCTGAAACTGTGAGTCCCCATGAACTCTTCCTCACCGACAATTGTTTTTAGTTGCAGTGGCAAAAAAACTGACTGAAGCAATCAGGAAAGAGAAACTGAGAATTGGGGAGCCTGAGGGGGAAGGGTTGCAACGGACTTGAGTTCAAGGTGATGATGGGAAGATGGAGCTGCCGGATAACCGGGCAGACATGGAGAGGCTGAAGGACAATCGCACTCCCTATCTGTGGAGTCAACCAACCAGGGAACAAAGATATTTTGGAAAAAAAAAAAGAGTCAGCATTGGACACATACAGTCTTTTTCTTGTTATTATTTCTTAAATGATGTAGTATAGTTTAACTGCTATTTACCTAGTAGTCACGTTGCATTAGGTATTGCAAGTGACGTAGAGATGGTTTAAGTATGTAGGAAGATGTGCATAGGTTCTATGCAGACCATTTTGCCATTTTATATAAGGGACTTGAAGAGCTGGGGACACAGCTCAGTGGCAGAGCACCTGCCTAGCGTGTGTGAAGCGCTACATGTGATTCCCAATACTGCAAAAAGAAAAAGAGAAAGGAAAAAACCCTCTACCCTCTAGGGGATTTGAGCATCCATGGAGTTTGATATCCATGGGGAGTCTGGAACGAGTCTCCTGTGGATTCCTAGAGATGGATGCACTCAAGAACTCGGCTGGGAAGCAGTGTTTAAGCCCATCATTGGGGAACCCATGCAGGGTTTCGACCTCAGCTCCTCTGCTAACTAGTTGATGCTGGGTGCGTTATATCGCACCTTGGAGCCTCAGTTTAATCATTTACAAAACAGGAATTCTTATAGAACTTATTTTCAGAAAGTTGCTATGAGGAAGTGCCTACAACCGAGCCTGGGATGTAAGAAATGCTTGGAAAACGAGAGCTATGGTTACGATTATCAGGAGGGTAAAAGATCATGTAACAGGAAACAAGAGATTGAGAGACAAATGGAGTAGAGGGAGACAGAAAGAGATCATGGCGGGGATGATTGGGTGGGGGCCAGAGGAGATTGAAAAGACAGAGGGGGAGAGACAGAGGCAGGGGCCCAGGAGACGCAGCGGCAGGAGGCAGGAGTGAGGTGGGAGGGATGGAGGGCAGGATGGAAGGACCCTCCTGGGCTACTGGGAGGTTGGTGAGGGAGGGTGGGAAGGCCTGGTGATGAGGAGCAATGCACTGGACAAGCTTCCCAAAGTGTACCCGCACAGGGCTGGTGCGTGGAGGTGCTGATGGAGAACATGCGAGCCCCGCCTCCCGCGGTTGCCACGGTTACCTGCTGAGCTGCTCCTGAAGGGCCTGCAGCTCCCCCTCCTGTGCCTTCAGTAGCTGCTCCTGGCGCTGGGTCTGCTCTTCAGCCTTCTGGAGCCCAAGTCTGAGGTTCTGGGGGATGGAAGGGGGGAGGGGGAAGCTGAAGGAGTGGGCAGAGACCCCAGCCCCGAGCCGGCCTGATGAACTTCCCCATGAGGCCCCAGGCCATGCTGTTGAGGGGAGGGCAGGACTGGGGACCACACAGTGTTTCCTCCTTCACTGGAGGATGGAGCTCAAGGACCTAGAAGGCTCTGGCTAGGGAGGAGGCTGAGGGAGGGCACGGTGGCAATCTTAGGTGACCACCGGGACAAGTATTTACAAGAGTGGGGTCTGCAGCAGTAGGAAGGTACCTGCCATGTGAGGGAGGGAGACCAAACTTGAGAACAAGTGACTGCCCCTGAGAACTGTCGGAGGGAGTCTTGAACGCAAATGCTGACAGGGCTAGGCAGAGTATGGAGGAAGAGAGTGGGGGCAGTGTGGAGCAGTAGGGAAAGGTGGGAGCTTCCAAGAGGCATCCCCAAATAATAATCCTGGGCAGGCCAACGAAAATTGATCTGTGGGCCGGGCACGGTGGCGCATGCCTGTAATCCCAGCAGCTTTGGAGGCTGAGGCAGGAGGACTTTGAGTTCAAAGCCAGCCTCAGCAGTGACAAGGTGCTCAGGAAAACAGTGAGACCCTGTCTCTAGATACAATACAAAATAGGGCTGGGATGTGGCTCAGGGGTCGTGTGCCCCTGAGTTCAATCCCTGATACCCCACCCCTGCAAAAAAAAAAAAAAAAAGAAGAAGAAGAAAAAGAAAAGAAAGAAAGAAAATTATTTGTGGGCTGGAGTGCTCCTGTGTTACCACTGGGGACCCCATCTGTGGGTCAGGTTAGAGGGAAGGACAGCCAGGCGAAGTGGCACATGCTGTAATCCCAGTGGCTCCAGAGGCTGAGGCAGGAGCATTGCAAGTTCAAAACCAGCGTCAGCAACTTAGCAAGTCCCTAAGCAACCTAGTAAGACCCTGTCTCAATAAAACAGAAAGGGCTGGAGGCCAACAGTTCTCACCTTGACTGTGTCCTGCAAGGGCTCCTCTGCTTGGTCCTCCCCACTGGTCATACCAGTCACTCCTTTTTGTTCTTGTGGCTCTTCTGTGGTGGGGCCTTCCTTTGTTCCCGGGTCCTGGGGGACCCAGAACTCCCCCAGAATGTTAGGCTCCTCCCACCCCAGCCTGCTCCCTGCTAGTGCTCCCTCCGTCTTCACTCTGGGGCTGAAGACCAGCAACCTCTGAGTGGGACCCCACTCTGTTTCTTCTCCAGGGACCCCTTTTGTTCTCTGAACCTCTGCACCTGGCAGAATCCCTGTGCCTCCAGCTGCCATCCCTGTCACCTCCTTCTGAGCTTCCTTGGCCCCCGCCTTCTCTGGCATCATGCCGGCTCTTGGCTTCTCTAGGAATTTCTTGGTGGGCCTCGGAGCTCCTTCCTCCAGGTCTGGCTGAAGCTCCTCCTGCTCCTGGAGGAAACCCAGGCTCCTGGAATCTTTCATCTGCTTTTCCAGACAGGAGGGAACATGTCGGTGTTGCTGAGACCTGGGAAGTCCAGCCGGTTGGCCTCCTCTGGGGGCATCTTGTAGACAGCTGGCTTGAGTGGTGAGTGGCTCCTCCAGCTGGACTCCTTTGGGGCCTCCAAATGCTGCTAAGATCTGCAAAGAAGCCCCCCAAAGCCATCATCTCATCTCAATTCACTCACCTGGTGCACTGAAGAGGTCGCAGTCCCAATCCAAAGGGCTTGCTAAATACAGACTCCCAGGCCCTTCCACAGTGAATTTGATCAGAACAGAAATAATTTCAGCAACACGCCAGGTGATCTGAGAGCCCAGCTTTGATGTGGAGGGAGCACAGCAGGGTGTCTCCCTGCCCCTTCCTCCCCACCTCCAGCCTGTGTCCGTCTCCCTCCCTCACCTGGGTCTTGAACGGTGATCTTATTCCCCCTAAGTTCCTCCCACCCTTCTCCTTTAAACTTTCCTCCTGAACTTCACTCTGTGTTTCAGCTTTCACATTTCAAAATGGGAATAATAATAGCTGGTCCATAGAATTGTGATAAAATCTCAAATTGACTGACACCCAGCTGAGTGACATCTCTCAAGAAGCCCTCTCTGTACTCCCATCTTCCTTTGTCCATATCTGTGTCGTTATAGTTGTCCCTCGGTTTCCAGGAGGATCTGTTTCAGGACCCCACATGGGAACCCAAATGCATGGGTGCTCAATCCCGTATATAAAATGGCATAGCAACTGCATATAAGCCATGCAATCGTCTCATACACTTCAGATAATATCTAAATTATAAAACCTCGAATGATGTCAGTGCTAGTGAATAGCTGGTGTGCTGTACGGTTTAGGGAATCAGGACAAGGGGGAAAAAATGTCTGAAGTATTAGGCACAGAAGTGATCATTTTTCCTAAGTATTTTCTATCTGCAGTTGGCGACACCAGAGATGTGAAACCCAGATGCAGAAGGTGACCACATGCTTAACATGTATTGCATGTGCTTCTTTAGGATCCATCTCCCTGAACAAGACCTTGAACCCTTTAAGGTTAGACACAGAGTCCTCCTGGTATCTGAATCTGGTGCCTGGAGGCTGGTGGGATGCCAAACGTGCTTGTGGAAAGATGGAAACAAAGATGATAATGACCACAAGCTGCCCGTGGTGAGGCGAGCCAGGACCTTGCTCTGTGCTGCACGTGGGTGTCTCAATCCATCCTTGCTGTGACCCTACAAGGCAGGCAGGTAACTTGCCCCAGGGCTATGGTTAGTAAGGGGTGGGGCTTGGCTCTGTGCCAGGCAGTCTGGCTTTCTAGTCACTCCCTGAACTCAACTGGGTGAATGTGACCTTGAAGTAGACCAACGAGAATGGCCAACACAGGTTGTCTCCCTGCTCTGTTCCTGCAAGCTTCTTCCCAGCGCCTCCTCCTCCCTGGGCCCCAGGAGCTCCTGCAGATGGCGTTGGTGCTCCCTTTCCCTCCGCAGTACCCCCATCACTCCAAGAACAGCAGCCTTCTCCCCCACTGTGCTCCCAGTGGGTCCCCTGGCTCACACACTGGCTCCTCTCTCTCTCTCCTGTTGGTCCCCTCTGTACACAGAGGGAAGCCTAGCCACCGCTCAGTCTGGGGTCCCGGCCAGATGCGCAAGAGGCAGTGAAGGCAGGAACAGAAGCACCACCTTTGGGGAATCTTTGGTCTTTCTGGGTCTTCTTCTCTGGGTCCGGCTGGAATTGGAGCAGCGGGACCTGAAAGTGAAAGAGGACGGGGACCCTGGGCCCCACTCCAGAGGTGGGCTTGGTCCTCAGATGGAGGAGGTCCCATCTTTCCAACTGCCCTGTCATCAACCCCCCTCCCACTTTATCATGCTCTCCATCCATCCACCAACACCGCTGACCACTCCTCCTCCCAGCCTCTACCCACCATCCAGCAGGTCTGGAGTGTGTATCCCCTATGCAGGGCCCTGGGACAGCATGAGATTACAGTGGGCACACAGAGGGCCAGGGCAGAGGAGAATCAGACAGAGGTCAGGGATGGAGCTGGAGGCCGACAGCTTCCCGCTTGTTCGGGATGCAAGGGGGCAATGAAAGCTGGCAGGGAAGAGGCTCCACCCGATGCCGCACCCACTCACTCTGAGAACATGGGCCAGGCACCATCCAGATCCGGCCGCTGCAGGTCCAGGTCAAAGGCCACCCCATTGAGCATGTAGAGAGAGTCCAGGATGTCTTCCCGGAGTTCAGGGCACAAGAGAGGGCTCCGAGGGCCGTACCATTCCCTGTGTTAATAGTGATCGCCAGCATTGGCTGTGACCTGGTGCTATGCCACCCCAAACTCCATGAATCAGCCTGTGCTGTACACCACATGGGACTTTTCCAGAGAGGGTGTGCCCTTGGATCAGGAGGCCACTCCATCATGATGCTACCACTCACTACTCCTGGGTTCTGGCCACCCCATCTGCTCCATTCTTCCTGGCCTTTCCTTTCTGACTCTTGTTTCGTCATCTCTGATGTTAAGCCTTTCATCTTGGGGTGAGGGAGGCTCTCTCATGAAGGAGGGAGTGGGCTCGGATGGTGTCCCTGGGGGGATGTCCCAGGGGCCGCACCTGATGAGCTCTGGGCTCAGGAGGCAGAGCTGCAGGGACTCGGCCAGCTGTCCATGGGCCAGACAGAAGCGGATGAAGGCGCGGCCTCTGCCCAGAGGGGTCTTCAGCTGTGGAGGGCACAGAGGGCCAGAGAGGGGGCAGTATTAGGCCACAGCGAGTGAAGACAGGAACAACTGGCTGACGAGGAAGGGCGTAGTGGGACTTGGAGGCTGTGGAAGGAGACGGGGGCTGCAGGGTGCTGGGGGCAGGGCTAACAAGACAGGGGGTTGTGGTCAGCAGATGGGGCTGCGTGCCCTTTGCCCCCGTCATTCTTGTCAAGAGCCTGGTGCCAAAGCTCCATCATGCTTCCGAGGTCAGCCCTCCCGCCCGCCTGGCCCTGGATACCTTCTCCTGCGAGTAGATGAAGCGAGTCTGCTCCGTGTCCCCCCGCTGCCGCCGCAGGGCAGTGCAGAGGAAGTCCCAGTAATCCTTCGGAGGGCCCCAAAAGCTCTTTTGCTCTTTCTGGTCAAACTGAGCCAAAAAGAATGTAGTGAAATGCTTCCTGACAAGGGGTGCAGATGTGTAGCAGACAGGCAAAAGATGGAGTCAGAGAAGTAGGAAGGATGCTTTTGTGTGCATGAGGGAGACCATCGATCACCTCAGAAGGTTCAAATGAGGATTAAATAGTCAGTCAAATAAAGGACTTTTTAAGCACGTAGTAAGTGCTTAAAAAATTCAGTGATAATTATGATTTGGGCTCTAACCAGCATCATGAAGGGCCAGTCCCAGGACTTCCGTGCATCTGAAGCTTCAGTCTTGAGACCAGCATGTCTGACTCCTGGTCCCATCCTACCCAGCTTTGCTCTACCTCCCTTCTCAGGCTGCAATGACAGCTCCAGGAATGAGGCTAGATGTCAGGGAGAACTTACTGACTGAAGGAGATGGGACAGTGCAAAGTAAAATAGGGAGGCAGCAGCTCTTCCCTGGTATCTGTGAACCCTTGCTCCAGGCCTGGGGCTGGGGAGAGGGCTGGGGGAGGGCAGGGTCCCACCTGCAACAGCAGCTCCAGGCAGCCGCAGAATCTGTGCAGCTCAGCACTGGCATCTGTCACTGGCCCCTGCCCATCCCCATAGCCCTGGAGGATGGCAGAGACAGCAGCTGTGGGGAGAATGACAGACACGGACAGGAAGACATCAGCGAGCGAGGCCTCTGAGGGGGGAGACGCTTCCGAGAGCCCTCACTGTCCCTGCAACTCAGCCTCAGAAGCTCTCTCAGGGCACACTCACCTTTCAGGTCCCTGGTGACCTTGAGGATGGCCCCGTCATCTGCCATGGGTACTTGGAAACGATGCAACTCCCTGTGACTTAGAAGATCAGCCCAGGAAGAACCTTCTGGGCTCAGCCGCCCAGCTCTCCTTTTACAAACGAGGAATCAGAGCCTGGAAAGGGAGCAGGACTTACCTAGGGTCACACAGCAAGTCAACTAGTGTGGGGGATAACCCAGCTTTCTTGAAGGTCAGCGTGTAAAGATGGTGCCACGGCTCCACTTACTGGGCAGTCCCTGGGTTCTAGACACTGCGCTCATTGCTTGACATCCTTGTCGCGTTTAATCCCTACAATAACCCCAGGAAGTTATTAGCTCCATTTTGTACCTGGTGGATCGGGACACAGAGAGCATGAGTCTCCAATATCACAAAGGTTTAACTGATGAAGTCAGGACTTGAACTTAGAACTGTACGCCCAGAGGCCCGTGTTCTCAGCCTGATGATGTAAGGAGCCTCTGAGTGAGCAGAGCATACCATGTGGACACTCTGTGGGGGAATGTCACCTCCTTCCCCCACGGACAGTTCTCAGTCTAGGCAGAGCGTTGTCATCCTTGAAACCCACACTCATCCTTTCCTGGGCCCCAGCTGAGTGGAAAATGTGTGTTCCCAGAGGAGATGGAGGCAGAGGTGGAGTGAGTCCCCACAGCTGGGAGGGGCTGATGCTGAGGAGCAGGGCACCTGGTATTAGTCCCACTGCCTTCTTGCAGGGGCCTCTCGGCCTGTCCTCCCAAGGGATTCTGGGACTCCAAGATGGAGATTATGGCCCCTGATGGCTGATGGGCTCAATCCGAGATCCCAACATCAAAGACGTGGCAGGAGCAGAAAACCTGGGGGTCCTACCTCCCAGACAGGGTTGCTGGGGTTTGGGGTGGGGTGGGAGTGACGAAGCAGTAGGTCACAGTGGAGGAGAGTGGAGAAGAAACTGAAGGTGAATGGGGAGGCAGGAAGCGGGATGGGGTGCAGGGAGAACAGCATTGGGAGTCTACAGACCTGAGTCTCCATCCTGGCCCAGCTACTTGCTTACTATGTGTCCTTGGGCAAAGCCACTCACCTTTCTTGGTCCTTGATTTTCCTATTGTCCACCAAGGGGTTGAACTGAGGGTCTGGGCAGCCCTTTCCAGCCCAGATCCTCTATTAAATCCTCCCCTCTCTCCGGGGTCCCTGTTTTGCCGACTCCTAGCATCACCCCCTTTACCCAGCTGCTCCTATGTCCCAGGACCCTCCCTACTGCTCACCTGGGAAGACCTGGGTGGTGGTGCATGGACAGCTGGACTCTGCAGCCTGGGCCTGTCGCTGGTAACTTCCTAGCCAAGGGCCTCGGGAAGTGACTCAGGCTCAGGGCAGCACCCTGGAAGGGGAGGGGCCAGCCCTTGCCAGGGAGAAGTGGTAGAGGCAGCTCAAGGGCACTGGAGCAAAATGGCTCCCCTCAGACACACCTTGGGGTAGGGCCACTTGTTGGCTAAACTTGAACTCACCCCTGGAGTCTGTCATCCCTGCTGTTCAACTTCCCAGACCCTTCTCCTTCTTGCTCCTGTCTTTCTCCCTTTCCACCACCAGATGGCACAAAGAGGCTGAGGCGTTGGTCCCCTGTTCCCTCTACGGGTCTCTGCTCTGTCACTTCTTGGAGCTGGGCTCTAGTTGAGGGCAGTGGGAGGACAAGGGTCCCCTTGTCCCTTCCTCCTCTCCACCTCAGCCTGCTGAGGGCTTCCCATGAGTGCTTGTCATAAGTGCCCTCCTCCCAGTCCTTGTACCCACTCCTTAAGAATGGAAGTAAAATCTAGTGGTCCTGCAAAGGGCCAGGTGGGCTGCCTAGGGGTCTGTGGTCCTCCCACCCTGGCTTGCTCTGCTTCTTGGGGTCTTTCCTTTGGTTTCTAGTCTGGGACACCCGGGGCTAGTACTGGGGGTGGAGAACAGAGGAGCAGGGACCTGCAAGATCTGTTTTCCCGAGTCCCAGGAACCACATGTAAATACAGCACACAGGGATGTCCAGTCTGCCTTCCACCCCACTGCCTGTCTCATCCATGCAGAGGCTCTGGGTCCCATCTCTGTCGCCAACGTCCCTGACTCTGTCTCTCCTTCCTTCACTCCCGGTGTCTGCTCCCTGCCTCTCTCGACGCAGGGGGTCTCTTTCTCACTCTCCCAACTTAGCCCGCCCCCGCCTCCGTGTCCAGGACCCTGTCGCCGCCCCTCCTCGAGTCCCCTGCGCCCCCTGCACCCTTGGATCTCTCCCTCAGTCACTGGCTGCGTCCGGGCGCGGTGTCACCGCCCCTCTCCGGGCCCCGCGGTCCCCAGCCTCCAGGCGGTGCAGCGGAGAAGGCGCGGACTCCCGCGGGGCCGGGCTGGGGGCGTCACCGCTCTGCTCCAGACGTCGCAGGCGCCCTGGGCCGAGCCGTCGCCAGGGCTGGGGGCGGGTCGGCTCCCGGGGCGCCCTTGTCCCGGGCCCGCCGGTCGCCCAGCCGGATGGGCTGCACCGTGAGCCTGGTGTGCTGCGAGGTTCTGGAGCCCGGGCCCCCCTGCGGCCCGCAGCCCCCCGGGAGTCCCCCGGCCACAGTGCCCGCTCAGTGCTGGGAGCCCGGGGACCCCGGCCGTGAGCACAGGAGGCGGCTGCTGCTTCAGGTAGGCGCTGCGGGAGGGTGTAGGGGAAGGTCGCTGTCGTTGGGGATGGTGGCAGGCAGAGTCTGGGCCACCTGACACAGGTAAGGAGCCAAGCCAGGAAAGTGCGGGTCCGCGCTTGCCAAGTGGCCTGCCTGGATCAGAGTCTCTTGTGCCCTCGGGAGGAGGGCGATGGGGACTTGACTCTTCGAAGGACAAATAACTCAGGTGAGGTTTCAGAGCCACCCCGTAGGAGCAGGGCTGGAGTGCTGGGGCGGGCAGGGGAAGGGTTAATTTCTCTGGAGCTGGCCCATTGGGGAGAGGTGGCTGTCTTTCCTGACCTGGGCTCTCTGGACTGGAGGGAGGGGCCTTCTGAGCCAGCAGGACACCGAAGCAAGGACTGAGGAGGCTGGTGGGACAGCTGGCTCTCCCTCTGGGCAGTTCTCTGTCCTGGGTAAGTCTCAGAGCCTTTAAGTGGGAACCCCACCCAAGGGTGGGAATAGCCAGAGATGGAGGACTCTGTTCAGACCTCTAGGCCTGGCCTCTGGATTTCCCTGGGAAGAGGTGGAGGAGGAATTTGGGGTCACTATGGCCTAGCCAGCTCCACCCTAGCCCCTCTGTGGAATCTGGGCTCACTTCCCCAGATCTGTTGGTTGAGTTGTGATCTAGATTCGCTGGTGTTTTATGTTCGTTCACCTGAGGTTCTAAGAGGGGGAGGCTCAAATGCACCCGTGGCCACATTCCAGACCCCTCCTCAGCGGTGGCCATTGAAGCCAGTTGTCTGTGTGTGTGTGTGTGTGTGTGTGTGTGTGTGTTGCACATGCCCAAGAGGCCTCTCTGCCCCATCTGATTAGATGTTCCTCTGGGGCACAAATTATGGCATGCCTGTGGCCACACTCCACAGTGGCAGGCACAGGGCTGGACACTTATAAATGAACCCTCCATCTTTTAGCCCCAACTGTCACACACACCAGTAACCATGGTGAGGGACAAGCTTGCAGGGTGTAGTGTTTTCTGGGCCCTCATAGTGACTTGGGTCCTAGTATAATTCTGATGGAGGCCTGAGCCTGGTTTAGGGGTAGGGTAAGGAGGGAGAGCTTTAGGGTATGGATTGAGCACCTCAGACTTTTGCTATTGGTCTTGGTGGAGAACAGAGGTGGTATGGCAGGATTCACAGACTGAGGGGCTACTCCAGAGTCATCAGGACACTTGTCCTGCCTCAGAGCCTCCTGAACTCTCTTTAATCCTCAGAGGTACCGGGGGAGCAGAGGCCACAATGTCTCTCTCTTATCTCTTCCTATCTTAGATCATTCTTGGCCTAGAAGTTCTTCCAATCAAACTCCAACTTCCAAACCAACTTCCAAACTAAGTCCTTCTGGAAGTTTGAGCTCATTTTCTGGCATTTTGGTGTTGGTGCAGAGAACCATGGGAGGTACCTCTGACCCCTGGACACCAATGCTTTCGCTGTTGCTCCTGTCCCCTGGCTTGGTGAAGCTCCTTGGGACTGAGACTACCTAGTTCCTTGTTCTCTCCTGCTTCTCAGACTTGTCCCAAGACTTCTTTGCTCTCTGGTTTTGTCTTAAGACCTAGGCCTGTGGATGTGGGCTTAGGACTCTCGGTGGGTTTCTTTTATTCCTCCTATTTCCCTGCCTCCCCCAATATGGCCAACTTTGACATGGGGCCAGTCCCTGTGGGGCCATGTGAGGGTGGGCAGGGACAGGGCAGTTGGGGCTGAGATGGGGAAAGGAACCAGAGGCACTGGAGGTGGGTGATCAAGGACAGGGAGTGGAGGGGAGGGGTGTGTGTGCATGTGTGCATGTGCATGTGCACACGTGCATACACGTGCATGTGCCAGTGTGTGACAGCAACAGGGACAGGGATGGGGACGGATGTCTGTCTGCATTCGAATGAGCTAGTTTCCCAGGGCCTCTGGAGAGCTCCCTGTGACTCACTCCTTCCTTTATCTGCATGGATAAAACTCCATCCCAGCCCTGTGCCCCGGCCCGGCTCCAGTGGGGGCTGCTGTTGCTGGCGGTGCTCCCCAACCCAGACCCCCATTCACTGGATAACTCTCAGGAGACTGCGTGGCCCAGGAAAGAGCAGCCTGTCACCTGGGCGCTCAGTGTAAGAGGTGTGACACCCACGTTCCTGTGGCGGATAAACATCACGTGGACTCTCACCCTCTCAGGAGCCAGGGCTCAGGAGTACCCAGGCGTCTGGGCTGGCAGCCAGGGCCTGCTGCAGACATGCTGCCGTTCCTGCCACGGCCATTCCACACCGAGCTTCTTACCCCGGGCCACAGGCCGGGCACGTTCCCAGCCTGCGGCTCTGCTCCCTCCTTCCCAAGCCATGTTGCCCTTTTCTGCTGCCATGATGCCTGGCTCACCCTCTAGGCCGACTCTCCTCTGTCCCCAGGCCTCATGGCTCTCTCTCCTCTCCTCATCTGAATCTGTGGCCTGCTCCTCCACCCCACTTTGAGGAGGGGCTGCCTGCACCGGCTCTGGGCCCCTGAGCCCCAGTTCTGCGTTGTCAGAGCCTGACCCCGTGCACCCTGCCCTCTCAGGTGGTTCTCTCTCTCTCCCTCAGCTACCCTGCACTCTGAGCCCCGCATTCCAGCCTCTGGAGGAAGGAGGGTGAGGCTTGGCACCCCTCCTGAGCATTCCCGCCAAATCTTCTCTGACCTGGGCGCCAAGGGGCCTGGCGGGCATCTCTAGGTGCCAGCCTCGCCTCCTAGCTCTGTGCCATATCCCAAGGCAAGTGGATGCTTGTCTGATGGTGGCGGGAGCAGAGGGGAAGAGATTCCACGCTGATTCTTCTCCTCCCTCCCAAAACCAGCCCCTAGGTCAGCTTGTCTGGTCTCTGCTTCCCTCAGCTATATCCCACTTGAGTTTAGGAGGCTCTGGGGAGGCCAGGGCCTTCAGTCTCTCCTGCATCCCTGTTGTGGGGATGGAAGTTCTTCCCCTTACTCTTGTAACAGAGAATCATAGACTAGTTATAGACTCATAGACCTCCAGAGCCAAAAAGGATCTTGGTTAGTGGTTCTGAACCTTTTGAGGTCCTAGATCCTTTTGAGAATCTGATCAAGGCTATAGATGTTTTTCCCAGGGAGACGTGCACACACACACGGCCACCGAACACATGTACAGTGTCATGTCCCTTCAAGCCCACACACGACCCTGCTCCATCCACCCTTGTGTGCAGAGAAGGGGAGTGACTTGCCCAAGGTCACACAATGAATGGTGGAACCCAGATCACAAGCCAGATATCCTGGCCTACACAAGTGGGAGTTTTGTCCCCAGATGCAACTTTTGTCTTCCCCAGTCATTCCCTGGCCACCCATTCATTTAGCATTGTTTCAAGCATTTTTGAGCACCTGCTATAAGGCTCGCTTTGAGCTAGGAGCTGTGGACAGGGCAGAGAACAGACAGGCCCTATTCTTGCCCCAGGGGGGTTGTCAATCCAGTGGGAGAAATGGAATCAAGTAATAGCACAAATAAATGCATTCCTGGAAATAGTGCTCTGGAGGGAAGGTGAAGGATATGGTGGGCAGTGATAACAGAGGGATTAGTCTGGAACGTGCAGAAATGGCATTTCAACCGGAAGCTGGAGTGTAGCAGATGGTAGTGAGCAGAAGCATCCTGGAGGGTGGAAGCAGCATACTTGAGGGTCCTGAGATGAAGGATGGTTTCGAGTTCTTACAAAGGCTTCAAAGATTTTCTCTGACTACTCCCATGAGCCCCACAGGGGTGAGGGTCAGAGCTGGGAACCTGGGCAGGAGAGGAAGTCCTTTGGATCAGAGATGGTAAGGCCAGGGAGCCAAGGCTGATCAGAGAAGAAGGATGTAGAGATGGTTTGGAGTGGGATGAGAAGCAGGAGAGAGGAGTAAGGTGACTCCCCACCCTACAAACATGTTGGCTGTTAAGGCACCATGAGATCTTCCTCCATTTCTGTTTATTGAAGTATTTCATAAATACAGAAAAGTGGACACGTGTTCCACTAACCGAACACACCCACATATCCATGGGATTGAGACCCATGGGTCAGCCAAGAAATGGAAACTCAGCCCCCAAAAGTGCCTCTGCAGCCTCCTGCTGGTCATTAATCCCCTTCAACGGTCGTTTCCCCTTCAAGGGTCGTTCACAACGCCAACCTCCGACAGCATTGATTTACCTGTCATGACAATTCTTCTAAGTGGAGTGCGTCACAGGTATGCTTTTGTGCCTGACTTCTTTGGCTCAACATCATGGCTGTGAATTCCCTCCATGTTCTTGTATGTGGCTGTAGATGGTTCTGTCCCATGGCTGATGGTGTTCCATTGTGTGAAGATCCACTGCTGATTTACCCCTTCTGCCATTGATAGGCACCTGGTTGTTGTGGGGTTATTGTGAGCAGCTCTGCTGGGCGCATGCTTGCTTCCCTGTTGATGGGGGTCTGCAAGACCCAGGCATCTCAAGAATGGGAGGAACTGTTCTATCCAGGGAGCGCTTCAGGTGGTGGGCATGGGCACTATCCCAGGGAGGGAGAGAAGGTTCTCTGGCACCCTAATATGTGCCCTTGTAGGACTTCTCATCATTCCTACTGCT